CTCGACAAACCTTTGAGTTCGAATCGCGTCGAGTTCATATTTTCAATATTTTTTCCTTTTATTTCTATCCAGCTGTTTTTATTCTTTTTACATCTTTATACGAGAAATCGCTTTGCAAGTAGTTGGAAATATTGGTATGTTGAAGCTGGCTCGAAGAGATGCAATCATTTCTAACAGTTAATTCCGTTCGAAATTATTTGAGGTGTTTTATTTCAACTCGCGTACTATTTTTGGGTGTCTGAGAGAAGCTGCCAAATAGTTTAAAGAGTCAAATTGAGTGTGGTATACCATATACTTTGGCTAAAATGCAACATACAGTATAAGCAAATACTAGAAGTTACTATCGCAAGGAAAGTGCTGCCACCATGGTGTTCTAAGTTGCCGCGAACTGCCAAAATTCTTCACCGCAATTCATCGCCCAATAAACTATTTCACCGCATAAGATAAGCGCGTCACGACAATTAGCTATAGTGTTTAATTTGACATAAACTTTCGTTCTCCCTCGGTGGCTTAGTGGTAGGTCGTTTGGCCTGTCTCGACAAACCTTTGAGTTCGAATCCCATCAACTTCATATTTTCAATATTTTTTCCTTTTATTTTTATCCAGCTGTTTTTATTCTTTTTACATCTTTATGAGAAATCGCTTTGCAAGTAGTTGGAAATATTGGTAACCAGGAAGATAGCCTGTGACAACAATACCGTCTATAACATAATTAGACCCATTTGGCGAACATGATTACTTTTTACGTAGACCAAATAATAGTGGAACTGTGAGAACCTTCACTGGACGTTTCGATAACTATATCACTATTAAAGTTTTAACAAATATAAAACATTTTCCGTGTTGATATACAGTTATATCAACACGAGTGGAAATTGGGAAAACGAGAAATTGTGTGGAAACACAACGCCCGAAGGGCGGAGTGTTTTCACACAATTTCGAGTTTTTCCAATTTCCACGAGTGTTCGTATAACTGTATATGAATACGGAAAAAATGTTTTATATTTGTTTGATAATATAGGACAAAGAAACATAAAGAAAGAAATTTTCCGACATTTTCGTGTTGACATTGAGTTATATCAACACGGCTCTTAGCCAATCAGCGTTCAGAATTTACAAATGCTTATATTATAAATGTAATTGTCCAAGTTTAGTCCTTTTTACGGTAATTATGTAAATATAAATTTATACTGCATGCTTATATTATATTTATATATGTTAAAATGTTAATATGCAAATTAGTTCATAACATAGGAAAATTGTATAATTCAGTTTTTACTGATTGAAAACAATTGATCAATAAACAGATATTATTATTATTATTATTATTATTATTGTTATTATTATTATTATCTATACTCAATATACGAATTATCGTACAGTCGATATACTAATTATCTATACTCGATATACTAATTATCTGTACTCAATATACTAATTATCTATACCCGATATACTAATTATCTGTACTCGATATACTAATTATCTATACTCGATATACTAATTATCTATACTCGATATACTAATTATCTATACTCGATATACTAATTAACTATACTCGATGTACTAATTATCTATACTCGATATACAAATTGTAATTGGCTTTATTGATGATATTTCTGGTGTGAATTTTTTACATTTATTTGACAAACGAACACTGAAAATTTCCTTCGACTAACATTTATTATTTAGTCTAACTATTTAGTCTAAACTTTTTACCTTTCAACTCGAAACTTCACTTTTACTCTGAACTGTGTAATTAAAACAAAAAGAGGTTTTGTGTTAATACATTTATTACATTAAAGTTATCTAAATAACAAGAATTTGTTCGCTTATTAATTATAATATAAACAATTTTAATATTCAATATCTTTGTTTGTTACCTTAAAAAGATGATTTATATATGTTGAAAATTAAGCTGCGTATAGAAAATAGAAACAGACAAGTAGAGCAGAATGTATGAACAATAAATACAACATGATAGGCCATCGTCCTCTTGCTTGACCACACAATAGCCGAGCTAGCAAACCACTAAAAATAGAAAGATACAACAGATCAAACAAAATGAAAATATTCAATAATTTAATCACGACATATTATGAATATCTGGCAACATTTTCAATCGCGGGAAACATAAACACCCAGACATAAAATCCACAGTCTGAGAGATTCAAGACAATTGCTCCGGGAAGTCTATCATAAGGTTAAACAACATTCGATGAATGTTTTGAATGAAAGCAAACGAGATCCAACATTACACGACACACTCAAACTGTCAAAACAGACCCAGGGTTCGTAGTCTCCAAGACCAACAAAATTCAAAGACTTTCAAAGACTTTTTCTGCCTATATTTTGAAAGACTTTCAAAGACCTTTGAGAGGAAACAGCTGTCGAAAAAATGCGAGTGTATAAGCACCATTTTTACCCGGTAATTAGTCCAGTCAAATCACCTCGTAAAATGCGCCTTTTCGTCGATATTTGCGAAAATCTTGCTTCAATCAATCTATTTTATTGGCTAGGAATTCGTATAATCAAATACTCACTAAAGAATTTAAAGACTTTTAAAGACTTTCTTCGCTTTTTCACACAATTCAAAGACTTTTCAAAGACCTTAAAGACCTCAAATTTAAAGACTTTCAAGGATTTCAAAGACCGCTACGAACCCTGAGACCCAACAATTTCATATTTGAGTATGGTTGTGAAATTATGTCATAATAGATCAAACCTTGACTGAAGACAACCACGAAGACTCATTAAGGACGTTTCACTTCTCCTGTCTGAAAAGTAAAATATTTAATAATTACTTACATAATACTACACTTGCCACAAGGGGCCATAGAAGGGAATTTGCAAAGTTTAACACCATACACATTGCAGGGAAATGTTTGTTGTGAAACTCAGCACGAAGTATCGTGCTTTATATAATAACTACAGTGAAACACGCAGTTTGATTGGTTAATAGCCGTGCAGATCAGGCTATCCTGCACGAGGAATTAAAATGCCTTCGCGGGATTTTCGCGGGATTCACAAAATGTCATTGTTTCACTGTAGTTATTTTATAAAACAATTACCAAATGGTTTTCCAAGCAGGATAGCGTGATCCATGCACTTGGGATGTTGGCGACTTTCGGAAAGCGTAAAAATACACTCGCTTGCGGCTCGAGTATTTTTACGCTTTCCGAAAGTCTCGCAACATCTCGCGTGCGGAAAGCCATTCGGTATTCCTTTATTCCTAAAGTTTCCTTGGCCTGGGAGGATCGTTTTCATGAACGGGAAAAGCTATTGGCTTGCGAGAATGAGGCTCCCGGGTCAGGGAGATATTTGTGACGTAATTATCAAAAAGGGTGTATTGGTCTAGCTTGACAATCTATCAACAGGTACTTACTGATATGTGAAACTCGATGTTGATATAATTGACCACCCTGGACTGCAGGCGATCCTGTTAGTGGTGTTCTCTCTTCGTCTAAGATGTTAACACGATGCTGAAGAAATGAAAGGATATGAAAAACATGCAAAGGACCATATGACGGTGAAGATATCTGGGAGCAGTTGTTCAAAAGAAGATGAGCATATAACCCTAGGTTAATTACTTAAAATTCAAAGCAAACTTCCTGACAGCTTGTTTAAATTATTGTAAAAATGAATTATGATAATGATTTAATATTTGCATAGCATGACCAAATTTCCGGGCTGGGCAAGCGCTATAATTCAGCTTCGAACAGCCAGCCCCTAATAAAAAATCCTGCTGATTTAAAAAAAAACAACTTTAAGCTCATTTATCCGGCTGAACATCATTCACGTATTTTACTGAAAAATACAAATGTTCAAGACGAATGAAGAGTTAGACAGTATTCACAGTGCATGCAGCATGATTGACTCGATATCTTATTCAATACCGTCATTGGTTATACTCACATCTCTTCTCTTATGTTGTTCTTCGAGTAGAACTTCTAACTCTTGCCGACGACCTATCTCTTGTTGCAATGTTGCCTTCAAATAAAACAACAAAATATTCATACATTGACAAACACGGTTTTAACTTCGACAACGGTAACTGATTTTGTTGTTCCATCTCAAATAAAATAAAACAAAAGTTATTCTTGTCAATTGTGTTGGAGACTGTTACATTTATAGACACAGCATTTTGACAACAGTCAACAGGGCCCACCAAATATGCCTGAGGGCTCCCTCTTCCTCCGTCACGTCACTGATTTCATTCAATAATGTAATGACGACTAACCTCTAATTCAGAAAGCTGTAAGTTCGTTTCTTCTTGCACGCGATCGGCATCAGCAAGTCTAAACATGCAGCATCACACAATTACGAAAAGCATCTCTCAAATTCTTGAATAATGTTAGACAAAACACAAACGAAAGGCTTTTATATGTACAAAATTTTGAATAAAATGGGCCCTAAGTCTAGGGGTGCACCGGATTTGGAATTTTCAAATCCGGCCGGAACCGGATTTACCGGATTTGGACAAAAATTCCGGCCGGATTTGAGATAAACCGGTAATGGGAACAATTGGGGATAAATCAGTATTCAAAATGGCGGTTTATGTTTTTTACTATTTTTAGTTAGTGTCAGTTTAGATTTTTGATTGTGTTTAAACCTTTTTTAAATATCTTTTTGTTAATAACTTAATATTTTATAATAATATAAGGGCTTTTTAAACTTTACTGTCGTTCCAATTGAAGTGTTGCTCAAATATTGATTCAATACATTACCTCGGGCTGACCAATTCATTTCATCAAGTTCCTCGAGATATTCATACACTTCCTAGTATAATTGTAAACTTCCTGTTGAATAGTTTGAATGCACCAATCACCTTTGTTGTTTGTGCAACTAACCAATCATAAATAGAAAGGAAGTGACCAGAAATGATCAAATACTTGGAATTGGCTCTTTCACAGGAAGTGTATGAATATCTCGAGGAACTTGATCAAATGAATTGGTCGGCCCGAGGTAATGTATTGAATCAATATTTGAGCAACAGTAAAGCTGCCAAATTGACGGTTTATCCCATTCTTGGTGATTTTTTTTAAGCTGAAAACAGAAATTTAATCCGGCCTCCAAATCCGGCCGGATGCCGGAAAATTCGTTAAATCCGGCCGGATTTGAAATCCGGTGCACCCCTACCTAAGTCACTCACAAACCTTTTCACCTATAAAAGTGGGATGACAAATTACAAACTTCGGGACATTTCCAGTGGTCTTTGTTTACCACAACCTCGAACAAATAACATGAAAAATAGTTTCATGTATAACGGTGCTCACTTATGGAACTCCATTCCAAATGAAATTAGGGAAAGCAAATCCCTGTCATGTTTTCAAAATAAAATTGCTACTCACATTCTTTAACTAAAACAAGATCCTAAGAAACTGAAAACTTGTAAATATATATACATGACTTACTTATAGTTTATATAACTTGATACTATAGATTGTAAATAGCTTTAAATACCTTATACTATATTTTTGTAATTCTTTTTTACACGCCCCCTGTGGAAATCAGCCTCGGTTGACAGGGTTAGCGTGGACAAATAAAGTTTTTCTATTCTATACCACGGTAATAAGCATGGATGCCTTAAAGACGAAAATTGAAAAAAAAATGGACATCTTACCTTGCAAGAAGTTTATTCAATCTTTCATCTCCTCGGGGAACATCATTGATACTTGCATTAAACATTGTGTCCGTCTGGCAATAGAAATAATACAATTTCAAATAAATATGCCACAGCAAAAATGGTTTCTATGTAAGCAGAATCGTGGTTGATTTTTTCTGCACCACACAGGACGGGTATACCAATTGTCCTGCATCTCAGTTGCCTGTGATGATAAAACCCCATAGATTTCAACCGCAAATTTTCAACTTTTTCTTACCTCGTCCAGATCTGTCCTCGTCTGGTTCAAAACATCGTACTCCTGCGCAGTACTGGAGGTAATC